TCCATTTTGAAATTCCACCACTCCTTTGGCACTTGTCACAATTTTGTGTTTGCGAATTCACATCTTTGAACAAAGAAGGTCAATAAAAGCCCAATTGAAGAACTTTTGTTGTCGTTCTCAAACCATTAAAATACCCTCTATAAGGAGAGTTGTGACAATGCCAAAGGATGCTATTAGCCTCTTCTTTTGAAACACACCTTCTCAACATGTTATCGACACCAAGCTTAAACAAATATGATTCATTCCACACAAATTACTTGGCATTTGATAAAAAATTATTTTTCTGGTTACGAGTTAGACCTTCCAGTATTAATCCAGCGGCTTTGTGATTTGCCATGTCGGCAAACCAAGGTCTAACTTGCACCATGAATAACTTTTCATCAGAAAATTATTCCTTGACCTCAATGTCATTCTTGGTTATCTCAACATTAACAAGACAGGATAAGTGATCCGCCACCAAATTCTCGGATCCCTTTTTGTCGCGAATTTCTAAACTCTTGCAACAAAAGGACCCATCGTATTAGCCTTTGTTTTGAATCCGACTTGGTTAGCAAATACTTAATCGCAGCATGGTCCGTGTAAACCACTACTTTCGAACCAATTAGGTAAGACCAAAATTTCTCTCCAATGAATACACTATCGCGAGAAGCTCTTTTCTGTTATGGCATAATTTATTTGAGCTTCATTTAAAACTTTACTCGTATTGTGCATAACATGAAAAAAAATTGTCCTCCTTTGACCAAGCACCGCACTAACCACATAATCACACATAGTGTATAACATGAAAAACTCTGTTTTAAAGAATTAAAAGCTATCATGCACGACTCGTCAAATTCAAAAGACTTATCTTTGTTGAGCAAGTTGCTCAAAGGCTTTGCGATTTTTGTGAAATCTTTGATGAACCTCCGATAGAATCTCGCATGACCAAGGAAGCTTCTTATTCCCTTTACATTAAAAGGTGGTGTTAATTTTTCAATGACGTCCACCTTGGCTTGATCAACTTCAAGGCCTCTTGAAGAAACTTTGTGGTCGAGCACAATTCCCTCCGTTACCATAAAATTTCATTTTTTCGAATTGAGCACTAAGTTTGTTTCCACACACCTTTCCAACACAACATCCAAGTTTTTCAAGCAAAGATCAAACGACAGTCTAAAAACCAAAAAGTCATCCACAAAAATCTCAATTGTCTTTTCAATCAAATCCGAGAAGATTGCTTTCATACACTGTTAAAAAGTGGTTGACGCATTACACAACCCAAAAGGCATCCTTCTATAAGCGAAGATTCCAAAAGGGCATGTGAAAGCAGTTTTCTCATGGTCCTTCGGGTTAATAATAATTTGATTGTAACTCGAATAACCATCCAAAAAACAATATAATTCTTGTCCGGAAAGTCTCTCGAGCATTTGATCCATGAAAGGAAGAGGAAAATGATCTTTTCTCGTAGCTTGATTTAGCCTACGGTAATCAATACACATCCTTCATCCGGTCAGGGTTCTTGTAGGGATCAACTCATTTTTCTCATTTCGAATAAGCGTCATCCCACCTTTCTTCGATAACACTTGCACCGGGCTAACCCAAAGCCTATCGGAAATTGGGTAGTTTATTCTGACATCTAACATTTTCACCACTTCTTTCATGGTAGGATTCAAGCGACGTTGAGGTTGGGCTACCAGTTTGAAATCCTCTTCCATGAGTATCCTATGCATACAATAGGAAGCACTTATTCCTTTTAAATTGGAAAGAGTCCAACCTATGGCATCTTGATTCTTTTTCAATACACAAATCAACCATTCCTCCTCGTTTTTGGTTAAATCCTTACTTATGATCATCGGTTTATGCCCCTCATCATCAAGAAACACATATTTAAGATGATAGGGAAACAACTTTAATTCAAGCTTGATTTCTTCATTATTTTCCTTTTTCAAAATCTCTACCCTTTCTTTCAAGGGAGGAATCTCATCCAATTCTTCAATTTCTCACAAACACTTTTCTATTTCTTTTTCCTCATTCTTATTGACACTTTGAATAGCATTTGTAAGAACTTTTATTAATGGGGTATGAACTTGTAATTTCCTTGTTACTTCTTCAATCACCTTCTCTGTTGCACGAATTCTAAAACAATCACCATTGTTCTTAGAATGCTTCATGTTCGAATAGATTAAAAAAATCTCTTTATCTTGTACTCTCACTTTCATGAGACCATCAACCATATTTATGGACATTCTAGCGGTCTGGTCTTCCAAGATTCAAAGCAGCGTCTTCATCTTCTTCCATGTCAATCACCACAAAGTCGATGGGAAACAAGAATTTGTCAATCTTGACCAACACATCTTCTACTACACCATGAGGACGGGTAGTGGATTTATCGGCAATTTGCAATGTCATTTGAGTAGATCTCAACTCCATGTGTACCAACCATTTCACAACGGACAATGGTATCAAATTGATACTAGAGTCCAAATTGATACTAGAGCCCAAATCAAATCAAAATGATCATAATTCACAATATTTACAATAAAATCGGAAACTTGCATATTTACACTAAAACTTATAAAGTTACTACTAAAATACCAAGGAAACCACTGAAAAGGGCCACAAAATACTATCAAATATATGCAAAATTTGGCCCTTAACACTTATGGAAGTTTTGCTTGGAATGAGAATGTGGCTGAACATCCAGTTGAAGAAGTGGTTGGACCACTTGTTGAAAATGTAGTGGATCCTCTTATTATAAACAAGGTTGCACAACCTGATGAGCCAGTTGAGGAAATTCTTGTTAGAAGGTCAGTAAGACAAAAGTGACCTGCTATCCCTGATGATTTTGTAGTTTATCTTAGTGAGGATGCTTATGATGTTGGTATTGTTATTGATCCTAAAAATTATATAGAAGTTATTACTTGTTATCAATCTAGCATGTGGGCAAAGATGAAAGGAAAACTCTTTGACAGTGCATCAGGTAGCTTGATGTATGCTAAAGTATGCACTATATCTAACATTGCTTTCATAGTTGGCATCTTGGGACGATACCAGTCTAATCCTAGGAATGATCATTGAATTGTTGCTAAGAAAGTGATGAGATATTTGTAGAGAACTAAAGAGTATATCTTGTTTTTAGAAGAGTTGACAACTTGGAAATAGTTGGGTATACTGACTCTGATCTTGTTGTGTGTGTTGATGATAGGAAATCTACTTCTGGTTACATTTTTATGTTTGCTAGAGGTGCAATTTTATGGAAGAGTAAAAAGAAAAATCTTCTCGCCTCTTCTACTATGCAGACATAGTTTGTTGCTTGTTATGTTGCTTCCACTCATACTGTTTGGTTAAGAAATTTAGTGAATGGAATTCGTATTGTTGATTCCATTGCAAAGCCACTAAAGCTTTACTGTGATAATAATGCAGATGTGTTCTACTCCAAGAATAATAAAACTTCTAGCGGTTCTAAGCATTTGGAATTGAAGTATTTGACAGTCAAAGATCTTGTAAAGAAAAATGACATCGTTGTTGAGTACATTGGTACTGATTTCATGCTAGTTGATCCTCTAACTAAGGGACTTGGGCCCATTGTGTTCAAAAACCATGTTGAGAGCATGGACATTATGAGTTCTTTTGATGTACTTGCTTAGTGGGAGTTTGTTCTTTATTTCATTTTTTTATCATGTTATATTTTATTTTGGACAATTTAAGTGTTGGATTGTCAAGTACTTTCTATTTTGAGCTATTATTATTATTATTATTATTATTATTATTATTATTATTATTATTATTATTATTATTATTATTATTATTATTATTATTATTATTATTATTATTATTATTATTATTATTATTATTATTATTATTATTATTATTATTATTATTTGTCATTGTTTATTTATATGTCAATTGTTAAAATTGAAACTCGGTGTCATCGAGACCATCGCGCCAATGGTCGACACTAGTTTGGAGTTCGAGATATGGTTATAATTTTGAACTCAGTATCTTTGGGACCACTATACCGGTGGTCGATGCCACATTGAAGTTGAGGTATGATTTTAAGCTCGGCATTGTCAGGACCATTGTATCGGTGGTTGGCGCCATATTGGAGTTTAGGCATTATGGTTTGTAAAACCATGCAATTTCTTTGGCTTTAATGCATTTGAGAGAAATTGTTAAGGACTGACAAAGAAAATAGCAGTTAGCTGTTGGATCACATTAGCATGCTATTTTCTTGCCACACTCCACACTGATGACTAGTTGACGAAGTCCGTAGTATATCTAACCACAAAAGGTTTTATGTCAATGAAGGATATAATAATCACCGTGATTCAATACTACTTGACTTTTATTGGATGAAGTCATATTCAGATATTATACCTGGAATCATGCATTTCCTTAAAATGCGACAAGAGTCGTTTTCAAAATGCATTTTAAAATAAAAATCAAACAA